TTCCAAAAAGAAATCTCAAATTAAGGCAGAAGCATCTATTTCACATATATGGCAAGTTTTCACTTACCAAGTAAGTTACAAATGTCACTTACAAACGTCAGCTAATCGTAAGCAACTGGACATCTAAGGTAAATGTAACAACACATCCTTCACAATTTATGGACATTTTAGATAAGAGAGGGAAAGCTTTTCAACAAAAGCAAAAGAAATAATACTTTGCTACTAATACTAACCTACTTCCACAATTACAACAAACTTTCAACTGCACCATGTATCTTGATGCTTAAAGCTAAATGCACTAATCAACTTGTAAAAGGAAATTTTGCTGCATAAAGGTACAGGGTTCTTGCAAAGAACAGGGAAAATTAAATATATGTTTTAAGACTTTTCTGCAGGGACAGGGAGAGAGTGTATGTCAATATTTACTGTTCTCACTAAGTCACTACAAAATGTTTGTTTTCTTCTCTGAAAGCAATTTGCACAGTGGAGTTTTGCTGACAAAAGATCAACTCCTGAGAGGTGGCAAGCACCTTCTGCAGAGCGTGTGCCTGCCTTGAACATACCACGTCTGGCCAGGTGCAATTAACTCAGTCAAACTTTTTAAAGATGAAAGGTATTCAAAGCAAAAGACACTTAATATCATGACTAGGACATCTTACCACATTTACTACCATTATAAAATCCTAGCACTGATAAAATGCTTTAAGGAAGATACCTGTTAGCCAGTCATTGCCTAAAGAGATTTTTCCACTCCTTCCTCAATCAGAAAAGCAAAGTCTGTGGCCTTTCCAGATGCCATCACACGTTATGTTCCTCTGCTGGTCTGCAGCTGGAAATCTGCATCCCACCCTGCTGGAGCTGAATGGACAGCCATGCAAATTGCTGGATGCCAAACTGTGCCGTGGTCACTGCCTGGGGAACGTGTGGGAAGGATGTCAGAGAGGAAACAGCACCAAGCACAGGCACTGCAAGGTAAGCAGCAGCTGGGGAAATGGAAACAGTAAAAGAAAGGTTGTATGATCTGGGATGAGCAGGTGAGTGCTGCTGCTCAGACCTGAATTCCTTGAGGCTCGACCAGGAGAGCGGCACACAACGTACTGTCTGTGGCGCAGGGCAATGGCATCATGTTTACACTCCACAACCTACTGAAAAGTATTTCTAATTGTGGTTTCTATGGTTTGGTTGCTGCCACAGAGAAAATGCAAATATTCATCTTGCAGGTGCTATCCTAAGAAGGCACAGGTTCCTCTAAACAGTATTAATCAGATTTTAAAATGGAAGTATTTATCACTTGAGATTTCAGACCTTATGCTTATTTGCAAGACATGCAAATGGTTCTCCATCCCTCAAGCTTCTGTACCCAACGAGTCCTCACAGGTGGACTTAGTCTATCATGGCAGTGGTGTTCTTCTGCTGAGGTGCAGGGTAAGTGCTGCAGCAAGTGCCATAAGCAAATTTGAGGTAAAAAACCAAAGCCAGAAGGAGCTCTGTGAATATCCTCTTTCTTTCTTGGACAACTCAATATCTCTGTTTTCCAGACTGAGTAAAGGCTATGACTGTATGTGTCCTCTGCCCGCCCTCAGCCCATCTCACTTTGGTCAGATCTACCCTGGAGCCAGCAGAGAACTTCCTTCTTCTCTTGCTGCATGTGAATTTCGACTACAATAGCTAATCTGTCTCACCATTTCCATAAGAAGAACTAGGAAAGCTCCAGTCTCCTCGAGGAAAGTTTTATCTGTTAATATTACAAAGATTTACATACCTCACCATAATAGAAATGGTCTTTTCTACAGCTGAGAAACGTGTTTTGTGTACCTTTTATCCCTGCCCTTACTGGATGTGCATCACTGTGTTTATAATTCTTTATTCCTATCTTCCTTCCTATATTCTGGGGAAGACCAGCAGTGCTCACAAACACAGAATAACTACTGGTAATTACACTGCCAACACAAGCCTTCAAGAAATGTACACTGCATGATACCGTGCTAGTTACATTTATTGTTATTCCATATTACTTGGGAGTACCAGCCCATAGGAAAGGACATCTGGCTCCTATTTGTGAAAATGGTGGTTTGTGGGTTATGATCTGTATGTGCCGGTGGGATTTTGGAAGGAAGCAATTCAGCACTTAAGCACGTTCCATCATTTTCATGTAGGGCAAGGGAAATATATATAGTTACATATGCCCAAAGAGATCATGGAGATGATTATTTTTAAATTGAAACATTTGATGTTTTTATATCATTTACACAATTCCTCTTAAACCACTGTTTTCCTTTTTAAAATTAGCACCAGTGTTTGTTTCCTGTGTGAAACGTGGTTTGTGTCTGACCAATGAAAGTAAAGATAAATGTGTCAGGAAGCTCTATTTTGAATACAGTACCTCAGCTGCAAAATAGAGCTTCTCTTGAGTAACTGAAATGAAAGTCAGTATCAGCAAAAATAAATTGCACAATTCAGTTGTGGCTGGAAAATTACCACTGAGATTGGCAACTTGATGCAACTTATTTCTATTAGTTTCTGTTGCATTAGACAAGGTAATAAATACTTCATCACAACAGTAGAGCAAGCTTTATTTTATTCCATATTGTGGTTATCAAACAATACTGCTAGCAAAGATTGCCTTTAGGGCAGGAAAATATTTTAGTATCCACTCCTGTTCAGTCAAGAGTCTTTCTGCTGGTTCTGCCAACAAGGATGCCAATTACTGTCAAGTGACATTTTGGTGCTGATGATGAGATACAATACAAAGGGAGCATAGTATGCTGAAATGAATTTACTGTACTAAGAGATAGAAAAATACTCTTCTTTTTAATTGGACCTAGAATTCCATAAGATGGGGTAAAAAAAGAGAATACCACTCCTGCTGTTTTACAGTTTGTATCCCCAGTTCTCTACTGGGAGTTTTCATTTCAAGCTCCTTTCTTAGAGGAAGCCAGCATTACATGAACCTCCAAAATGCACAGATCGTATCCAGTTGCTAAGGTGAACCCCAAACCAGCTCTGTGTTAATTGTGCCAGTACTTCCCTCAGTATTCCTAATCCTATCTAGACTAATTATTTCACTGAAATCCAGATAAGAATGAAATCTGTTTAGGACTGTACAGAAAGCATGTCCACTCATAAAGATAAATCTCTAGGACATCATTCAGTTTGATTTCACTTCCAGCTTCTCCAGCAAGTCAGTCCAAATTCCCCACTGAGTTACATTTCCCCTGATAAGAGCTGAGTGAGGAAGATGATGGTACCTTGGAATGAGAAGTCCACTTCCTCAGCAATCCACCAATTCCTAGCACCCCAGGTCACCTTGTGAGTTTCAAATCTCTTTCTAACAGGATGCTTTGCATGTGCTTGTCACTGCTAGAAGACAGTGGGCAGGGGCCAGATCTGCAAAACTGGCAATTCACAAAGGTGAGCAGGGCCAGCGTCGCTCAGGAATCCCACAAGAAACCTGGCTTGATGGGGGCAAAATTATTTCCCTGCCCAGGTACACTGCTGAGCATTCGCCTTAGTCAATGAAACAATGGTAGATCTGCAGTAAAAGCCACATCCTGACTTTCTTAGCTCTGCAAAGATTTCGACAGCAAAGTAAATCCAGCTTTGCACCAAATGTCAAGTCCTGACTTTATTTCCTCTGCAAAAACATCAATAGCAGGATAAATATCACTTCTGCCTTCATTTATATTTTTTTTTTTAAGGAAAGTTTACCTTGTATATAATACACACAAAATGCTCGGGTAAAAATAGGAATGAAATCATTGCTGCTATGAAGAGGAGGGGTGGCATACCTTCCCTGTCCATCACATTCCAAGCAGTTGGCACCCTATAAATCATAGGAAGCACAGGGGTAATTATAGAACTGGAAGCTGATTACTGTAAACATTCAGAAGTAGCTCCTAGTAATTGGAGGCTAAAGATAATGTGAGCATGATTACAACCACGAGGAACTGTGCAGATCGCTTACACCCCCATTCTTGTCTATTAAACTAGTCTTAAAACCAGGTTTTCTCACAAAGCAACAAGCAACCTAGTCAATCTAGCACCTTGTATATTAAGAACCTGTTAATATCATGAATTGTTTGTTCTCTGTCAGAATTAGTGTTGATGTGACAACATTTGGATCATCAGGATCTGCTTACTTTCCCGTTGTATATTAAGCAACGTAGCTAACAGCTTCTGCCAGCTTGTTCTGTCATGTCCTGGCATGCCTTCATCGCTCCCAGATGCACTGCAACACATTTGTGGTAGAAAAAGCCCGGCCACAGAAGGGCAGCTTGCACTGAGAGTAGATGATGACATGTAAAATGGGTTTTAGTGCCAGTGATGTTCATTTCTTCATCCTCAGTGCAGCACAGAGAGAAAACTCTGTCTCCTCCACCCTTAACAGAGGGGGAAAATTGGTGAAGGTGCATCTGCCAGACATATTGTGCTGCATCATGAAGAAATATTTGATTCCTGCCTCAAAGAAGTTACACCACCAGGACAAATATAACAATGCTTTGGCCTGAAGTTATATGTTCTTTCTTGACGAAACATTCTAGAACAACTCTGCAACATAGCCAAAGGGAAAGGTGCTTTTCTGCCATAAGACTGTGCTCTGCTCCTTTCCTCAAGTATGAAGATATGAAGAACATGTCATTTTTATTCTACTTAGAGAATTTAGCTTATTTATGGCTCTAATCCCTACTTGATCCTTACAAAGCTATTTACTTCAATTATACCTATCACTGATAACAAGTTCTACAAGTTAATTACCACAAGTGTAGGAGCATTGATTTTCATCCACATCCTTATGTTGTTATTATACTACTCCAAATTCTTGCTTTTTCTGCATTAGAGGCAGAATTTTCAGAACTAACAGAACGAGCTTTTGAAAAACCCACTTTTTTATAAAAGTTACCTAGACTCCTATCTGAAATTAATTAGGACTCGGCCATATGATGACCTGAAGAAAGTGCTACAAAAAGTGTAGCTTTTGCTACCTGGCAAAAACTTCTCACCATGCTGTATAATCCCATGCTCCAAAAGTCTGCGGCCGAGCTGCTCTGCTTCAGTCCGTGTCGTGGCCTCTCCTTCCTGAATCAGCCAGTCAATGAACTCTGATGCCACGAAGGTCCGTTCGTACTTGACTCCTTCCTCTTCCCTGGCTTGCAGAAGAGTATTTTCAGAACTCATCAGCCTGTTGTGGGGGGGGAAAAGACTGGTATGGGAAAAAGTTCTTCAGAAAAGCAGCTCCAGCTCTATTCTGGCAAATCCCACTGACACTAACCAAATATATGTGGACCTTTCACTGACTTACTAAATCTTTCCTCAAGCTATTAATCTATATTTAGGATGTGAATTATAACTGCCTAGTCAAGAAATTTAGGCGTTATATTCCTGTGTGAAGTTAATGCTTTCTTGTTTTTTCCCTAAAAGAAAACAAGGTTTTCCAGCTTCACATTTCCCCTATTTAGTTCTTTAGCTTCTCTAAAAGCTACTTTGAAACAAAATTAGCCTAAAAGCACCAGATTGTGACTAATGTCTTCAAAAATTCCTAATTGCTTTTTAGCTAGCAGGACTGTGCCCCAAAGTCATTTAGATGGTTTTGAAAATTCTCCCCATAAGCTCTGAAACAGCTGCAGAAAATTCAAGAGGAAGAAAAAAAGGGTAGTTCTGTGGTTTGGGTGGCTGATAAATATTTAGCATCCAACATTTAGTGATGCAGCTGCAATCAGTGACCTGAACGCACTTTAGTATCTGAGTCTCAAGGTCTCTGTGGCTCAGCCGTCTCTGTGTAACATCACAGCTCAGAGGAACATTGTGAGATGTCTCTAAATCTCCTAGCAAGTGGCATGTACCTAGCTTGAAGGTACTAATAAAATTCCTCTCCACTCGAGTAACCTATGCAAACAACACAGTATTAAAAAAAGTATTTTGTTAATACAAAAGTAAGGTTGACAGAAAGAGAAGACAATTTGAAAGGAGAAATAAGAATTGCTCCCTTGTAATGCAGGATCTCACTTTTGTTTTGTTGGGAGACTGAGCACCTTATTTACTTATAAAATCCTTATTTACTAATTTAGTTTTTCTTCATAATTATTTTATGTATTATAGGCTAACAATAGGACGAGTGGTAAGACTTCCAGCAGAGCAGCTGAAGAATGGCATGGTTATTTTTTCCATATAAGACATTAGTAAGTCCCTTTCCTTCCCCAACTATTTTGAAATTAAGGGCACAACTGAAGTACAACAGGAATATTCTGGAAGCACTTGATCTTTGCCCTTCTGATCAAAAATTTGAATTTCATGTAAATCCATACGTGGGCCATCTGTTTCCTAAAGTGCCAGCATGTCCAGAGTTCATGGAATATAACATCACCTCCTTTGGGAAGCATCAGAAAAATCTGTGCCATAAGAACACAAAGAGACATCCCATTTGAAATCACAGCGAAGAGGTTTGACAGCATCAAGCCCCTGTTACTTCACCTGAAAGATTTATTCCCTTGACTTTAACGAGAACTAACTAGAAGCCTGAACTGACTGGACCTGACCAGACAGCCGAGCATCAGGCCTGGCAAAGGCTCCTCAGCCACAGCTGTATGTCAGTGGCAGATATAATGAACGGCTCACTGGTGTGTCACTGCCAGCACCTCTGAGCTGAGTAAGAACTAAAAATGTCAAAATTAGCTGAAGTCAGGGATGAGGCCAAAAGCAGGAATATGTGCCACAGGAGACAAGGTCTTGACGCCAGAACTCTTGCAAAGACTTGATTCCTTTTCATATTTTGATTTACAAGCATCTGCAAGGCAACATTTTGTCCCACACTAACCACATCTAATACAGACAGTGCTCCAAGGGACCGGCTAAATGTGTCTCATTCACCAGCCTTTTTTATCCCCTGAAAAAAATGCAAACCCAAAAGCTTCTGTCTTTTTGCACCATCTGCTGCATGGTTACCCAGAACTGGTTACCCAGGCTCTGCGAGCACCAAAGAAAAAAACCTTAGGATTGTGTTAATTGTTCTTTGATGAGTCTATAATTAGTTGACCAGCTCATTGAAGTCGCAGATAGAGAGGTCCTTGAAAAAGAGATGCTAATGGTTAGATTTTTACAGAGACACAAAAGAAATTTGGAAAAACATCAAGTAGAAAAACACTCAGCTTGACATTTCACACCCTTCTGCATGTGCCCAGAATAGCACTGCAAAGGATTTGGACTTGTGAACAAACAGACACGACAAATTGACAGTTTAACAAACCCAGAAACAGCAATCCATAGACTTGCATCTTTAACTGAAGTAAATCACTGTAACGCCATGGCTGTCAACAAAGCTGTACCAACTTATATCAGCCAAAACCCTGGCCTTTCATTAGCCAGTATTGGAAACTGCCTCTATCCATCTCTTCCATTTTCTTCTTGTTTCAAAAAAACACAAGGCTATCCATGTCAAAACATATTATTTGCTAAAACTGGTGTTATCCTGCATTAAAGGAATGTATTTAGCCAAACACTGAAATTCAAACCCTTTTCAAAAGAAAATTTTAACCTTGTTTTACCTAAATAACTGCTCCAGAGAATAAATCTGATTTAACCACTGATGAGTTAAAATGAAAGTGATTCAAAGAATGCAGTCTCAAAATTATCTGAATGATTTCCTGAAATTAAAACCATAAATCTGCACTCCTTTCACTGTGCAATCTGGTTGAAAACTCTCAGTTGTAGTCAACATCACGAGACGACTTACAGTTCCTAAACCCGATTGCACCAGAAACAACAATCCTGTGTGCCTGACCAGAACCTACTGAGAGTTGCAAACATCATGACAATAGGATGCCTGCACATCTTCTTTTTTTTTAAGCTATGAATTGTCTGTGCTGGATTTATTTAAGATTTGCAGAGAGGGTTTCATTGAACAGGAAACACATTTATCTCATTTGATCTGGTCCTATATATATATTGTCCTATAGACTAAGAAAACTGATACCATCCCTGGACCTAATAATAAGCTATTCAACAATTTTCGGACAAGTCTGTAGGAAATCCAGTAGGTTTCATCTCTAGTTATATACTCGAACCTCAAATTACACACAAGGATTACCAACGTTTGCAATTATAGGCAGAGAATTTGAACTAACGTACGGTTTTCTGTGCAAATGAAAGAAGAAATCAGAGACTGATTTCAAATCTTCTAATTGCACAGGTACAGACACCAAAGATGTCCAGAGTAGGTGGAGGAGGTAATGCCACAGGAGAGGATGATCCAGGCTATGAGGAGCTTTGTGGCCACACATAAGGAAGACAGGGAAAGGGAGCTCCTTGGTTGGGGAATAGTCCTCATGTCCCAGGCAAGAGCACAAGGCATTTACCCAAACAACTGTCTGAATGCAGGGAACCTGCCTAATACATCCATTCCTTTGCCCATGCAATAACCTGCTGATCTTCCTAAACCATTTTGCACATTCCACCCATGGAGGGTACAGATCTGTGTGGACTCACTAATGATGAATAACATGTCCACAGTTTTGGCAAGCACAAACTACACTCACTTTTGGATGTAATGGTACTCTAGCCCTAATGTGATGGGTGAAGAAGAGCAGGAAACATTACTATAATGTCTAACTTAAACTAGCAAAGCCTAGTGAATATCAGCAACATCTACAAAATTAGACACAGATTTTCAAAATATGTTGGATTCAGATAGATTTCTTTTGGCATAGTTGCATGTCTCTTGAAATTAGGCCCTTCAGGCATTTTGATAAACAAGTTGAATACACTGGGAAATGACTTCACGTCTGTGCATGAATACTTTTCTCCAGTTGTTGCTGTTTAATAATGATTTTAATTGCAGTGAATTAACATTTTCTATCTTAACACTATCAGCAAACTGATACAACAGGAATATCACACTGCAGAACTTCTGTAGTAGTCTAACTATTAAGAGTTTGAATGTAAAAGGCATCCAATGAAATTGAAGGCATTGCTAATAAGCGTGCATGGACAAGGGACCTAATGAAATCCAAGTGCTCCGCACACTGGATTTGTTACAATAAGCAAAGTGAAGCCCAGACAGCCCAAGTATGCGTTCTTATCTCCCATGAATATAAAATATTTCCAATGATCCATGGAGAATTTTGAGTAGGTTTGACTGTCACAGACTGGTTTTGAAATGCCATGTCATTTTAAGCTATTCTATATTTAGCACTCAGGGCTGGTTTTAAAAGTTTCTGAACCCTTTAGATACGTTGCCTAGGAGCAGCCACCTCATGAGGTTGCAGCTATATTTAGATAGAGGTGCTGCTTTTGGCATTATCTCCTTTTCCAAGATGGGAAATATTCATACTGTTATGAACATTTTTCTGCTAGTACAGAGTTGGACAAACTGGACACTAGACATCAGTTTGAGGCTAGCTCTCTATGCAGAGAAATGGGGATGGAAGAAGACATGGGAGAACAGAGTAGTTCTCACCGTGGCTCCTTTCATGTTATCAGCCTCACCAACAAAAAGAGATTTTTCTCACAGAATAGAAATAGAACCAAAAGAAAAAGAAAAAAGGTTTGATACTGTAGACACACTGACTGGCTTTTCATAGTATGAGCCAGCCTTGCAGGCACTGCATGTTACGGAGTCTAAAGGAGCAAATGCTGGGCTTAATAAGGCACAGAAGATTGGAGATTCAATTCATCTGTCCCAATGCACCCAGTGAAGGTTTTTTCCCCCATATTTTCTTGTTTCTTATACAATTTTTATTTTTTTTTACTTTAAATAGTCACGGTCACTGAGTCTCAGGGAATTTTATATGATAAGTGCAACAAAAGGAATGACATTTACGATTACTGGTTTATATTTCAGTTAATGCTCTTTCATGAAATTGACCTTCAGAGCCTTCTTACCTTGAAAATAAAATTTATCATCAGCTTTTAAACTTGGGATTTTCCTGAGTGCTTTATTCTAAGAGGGCAACAAAATTACTCCAACCAGAAAGAACTGCATCTTGCCAGGTGCTGCATGTTTCTGCTCTAACCAAGCAGGATAGTGGGTTGTTTCCAGTCTAGAGAAATCCTTAGAGCTTTTTGGTAAACAACACATCACAACTTTTTCATTAGTTTGTAGCATATGCCAACATGTGTTTTATTCTGTCTGCTTGTAAATACAGTGCCACAATCTCTACATCCTGAATGCAAATGTCATTAATTATAGACTGGGAAGTGTTGGTTAAGCTGCCTGGTTATTTGATGAAAGTAATCCAGTGGGATATTCAGTATCTCATCATAATCATCTGTTTCAAATCTTAATTAGATGCTCATGGCTGCTTTGGGGTTGGTTTTTTTTAAACAACTTTAATATAACCTTTCTGATGCAAAATCTTTGCAGACGGGAACATCAAAGATTAATTTCACCTATTATTTAAAATCATATCTCCTGGTGAAGCTGTAGATATGGAGTCTCAACAGACATGTATCCACTTGTTCAGTGCATTTTGATGTACTGGTTTAGGTCTTGTGATTACAGCTTTACATGACAAATTATCCTTTAGTAATTATTTTTACAGAATTGAATGCAAGGCCTTAAACTCACACTGGGTTCTCATGTAGGATGTATTTACAACCCAGAACATCAGAAAATGCTATTTCATTTTAAACAAAATGCTACAAGTGAACATGGTAGAAAAGCAAAAGAGAAATGGGAGAGAGAAGAGTTGCCAACTAAAGCCACAGGATTACCCAGACCCATTCCTGCATACTTTGAAAGCCTCTGACTATTCAAAAATAGATTAACAAGTATCATTTGCTTCCTGTGGTACTATTATCAACACACTACGAATACTGAATGCAACATACTTTTCATACAGTCTTTGTCCTCTCATGAACACCTTCACCTCATTGTCCAGTGGAAATGTCCCGTCGTCTTTTCGGAAGCGATAGAACAGTTTGACATCCTTGAATTCCTTATGCTCATCACAGACTGAAACATACAACAGATTAAAGAATCTTTATATAGATGTTAAGGAGTTGAGGACCTATGTAGCAGGTATAGCTGCTGAACTTCAAAGTAAGCATGTATGGAGCCTAACCCCCTGTATTTCTGAGCACAAAACTTTATTCGGTCCTAACAACTGATGACAGGCTGGAGAAAACTTTCAGATAGTTGTTCATCAGTTTTGTATTATTGCAAACACAAACAGCAAATAAGCATCCATCTGCTATATACCCAGAAAACCTTTTGATGAAAACAGTCTGTTAGCTTCTTTGTTTAAAAGGCCACCAGGGTAGAACATCCAGTAATTTCAGGATTGACAAACTTCTTAAAGTTACTTGTATCAGTTGAGCAATGCTGTAGGAAACCCAAGACTTGCTGCAGAAAGAGTTAGCCATGCCAACTTGGAAGTGGTAGGTACAACAGGAGCACACTAAGAAATGATAAATTAAATTTATAAGACAATAGCTGGTGATTGGCTTTTGCAAATGCAGAACAGAGTTCCTCCAGGGCTGTAAATTAATGGGAAAGATATCCCAACCAAGGTGCTCCTAGCAGAGTTGTCAGCCCACATACACGGGCTCACCTTCTGCACCACGAGAACTGGGCATGGGAGTTGAAGGGATGCCCTGAATATCCTGCAGAACCTGATGGAACTTCTCTGAGTTTACCCTAACTCATTTCACAAACTATTTTATTAAATTTGAGTGCAATACATGAACATTTTCAAGAAACACTTGCTCTATGTGTACTATATGCACACGTATATATAAAATTTGTATGGAAGTTATGGTGTGCAACTGGATCCTGAGGTAGAAAACGTCTGAAGGTTGTTAAAGCTTTCAACAAGCAGTCAGCAATGAAACATCTATTGCTCAATTAAATTAAGTCACTCAGGCATCCACGCAACTCTTCACTGACATTTTCTCAATAGAGGATTAAGTAGTCAGATCTGAATACCCTATAATTACTTTATTCTTTAACTATCTACCGTGAGTCCCAGTTTCCATAACAACCCAGAATTTTAATTTAATAGCCAAGCAGAAGCTGTAGAAGTGTCACTCATTCAATATGTGCATTTCTTACTTCAATTAAGGTGTTGTTAATGTATTGAGATAGCAGCAGTATTGCTGCACATACAGTGACCCCTGCATGAAGTCAACATTCATCTGTTCTCAGGCACTTGGTTTTTCTTAAGAAAGAAACAAATGGTACATTTTGCCTTTTGGAAATAGGTAATACTATACACTTGAAATCAAGGCCTTGGATCTTCTTTGTGTTCTTCCTAGCTTTTTTGTGCACCAAAAGGCACCTAAATGCTACCACTGAATTGGAATTCTCCTTTTCATCAGGATAAATTGTTATTCAAGAAGCTGAAAGGAACAGATCTCAAAGAGACAACGAGTTTAGGAGAAAATTAATCAGGGCACAGTCGGACCACTAACTTTCCTGCAGCTGTACCAGCACTAATGTTTGTGCAGCTGGTGCGAGGGACAGGGCCAAAGAACTAATCCATCTGAGAAAAATGATCTTTTTTAGCCGTCTGATTTTTCAGATGGGTTTTTCAGCTGGAAAACTGTGCTCTGAGGAGCAGGGTGGTGAGGGCAGCAGGGAGAGAGGGGACATGATCCAGCTGGGGCTGCTCTGGAGGCAGGGAAGCAACAGCATGGTCTCCAGTAACTTCTTCCCTGTACTGACATGGGGAACATCATACCACACCTCTTCAGCCTCTCCTTGGGACACAGGGGACCTTGCAGAGCAGCACGGTTCAAGAGAGATGCTCCCTTTCTGGCAGGGAAAGGATCCTACCTGTCCTATACGCAGTGGAAGAGCAGGAGTGGGATTTCCCTTTGTTTCACAACAAAGCTTAGCTTAGAACTTTTTAGCAGCTGATACTGAACTTACCATGGTGGATAATGCTGTGATCCAGTAATTTCTGCACCAGTTTAATTGCCGTCTCTCGGTCAGAGGCCTCCTTATGGTCAATCAGCCAGTCGATCAGCTCTTTGGCAACAAAGCAGTTCGGGTACGTCTTGAGGTGGTGTCGCCGATCTTTAATGACTTTTTCTTCATGCAGTCGGAGCCTGGGGATCAAATCACATTGTGAATATCATTTGCAAAAAGCCTCTGTAACTAGCAAGACTAGAACAACAGTGGAACAGAGGCACCCAAACTCTGCTCACAGGGTGGGCTCTGCAAGTGTTGGGTGGAAGAGGAAGACACTCGGTAGCATGTCACCACTGGCACTTGACCATCAGGCAATCCACAGGAACCATGTGTTATAATTTCAAACCCTGTACTTGGAAAACTTGTTTTCTGCCCAATGGAAAGGATTAAAGAATGAAGAATAGCACAGCATACTAAGCCCATTAAAGTACTTCCTGTACGTCAATTAAACTGTCAATAATTTGGAATTAATTTTCCCACATTACCGCTAATACATTCCATGCTACTCTTTTATTTTGTGGTATCACTGCTGTAGATTTTATTTATTTATTTTTTAATCTATCTCATGCATTTTTTTAACTGTAGCTTCTTCCTTGGTTGAGTAACTGCATTTTGCCTCCAGCTGCACAACAAGCATAGCGTTTCTGATGTAAAATTCAGGCACAAAGCTGTTCCAACGCAATGTTGCATAGCAAAAAAAAGTTGCATCCTATTCCAAATAAAGGAGAACTGATTTCTCACTTGGGGGATTGTTGGTAAATGCTATCTATCTGCCAAACCTCCCCATCATCTTGAAAGCAAGTTAGTTGGCTGGTTTTGAGATGCTTGGGTCAGAACACAGATCCTGATCAGAGTAAAGGATCCCCTGTTAGTAAAGTGCCTGGGGTTTTGCATCTTTATTTTTAGTCTTTTTTTTCCCCCCAAATAAACAAAGTGAGTAACTTCATCAATGAATTAATGGAGAGAGATTTTTAAGTTTTTTAACAGTTTTCTGCTTTCTTGTTTCCATTTTAATTAATAATTTCAATAATTCTGTTTTTGTAGTGCTATGTCTACACAACAGTTCTGAAGAAAGCACAGAAACCACAACACTTGAGCACCTACCACAAGCAAAAAAATTGCCATTCATTTCCAAGTGGCCAGAATCCTACTTTGTAAACACTCTCACTGACTTTAAAGATGTTCTGGATAGTGCTATAATAATTGTAGGGAGTACAACTATCTCTATTTTCTAGAGAGGGAGATAGCACAGAAGGGCATTACATGAGCCTTAAGAAGCACAAAGGAGTCCAACCAATTTTCCTCTCAGTGTGATTCCAGTATGAAACAATTCTTTGTCTTCAGAATCAAAAAAAGGGAAAACATTTTGCTGAAATCGTTGAAGAAAATATTATTAGGGCATTAAACAAGGTTTATTTGGCTTCTACCTAAAAATAGTAGCAAAGCAATGTTTTTGTTTTGCAGCATTTAGCCTTGAACTACACTGGAATAGCCAATCTGTGATATGAATTCAAATCTAGCTTTGCAAACATGACAAAAAATGAAGACTTTTATATTAAAAATACTGATAAATCAGGTCAGTATTCTGGAAAGAAGTGCTGGTAAACATCCCTTGTGCTGTGAAATTCTCTGAGCTAAAATACCTTTGCTTAAAGCATATTTTCCAGATGTGCTCTAACAGTTGTTGCCATACTTAGAAAGAAAAGCCTACAGTTTTAATTATAGAGCATGCAATTATCAGTATATCTGGTGGAGCTTTACATTTAAAATATATTCCAGGTTCTGATAATGTTCATGCTGTATTATGTTGCACAATAATCTGCAAGAACAAAACTAGGGAGAGAGCGTGTAATGCATGTGCAGATGGTTTGACCCAGCTTCCAGTCATCAGTTAGTCTAAATGGATGGAGTTCATCTGATACACAAGGGAAACCCCCTTCTGTGAAATTCTTTGTCCAAATGTTGCGTAGGAGTGTGCCGGGACTGGTCTGGCATTCCACAAACAAGTCAGTAGCCAAGAGCCTCAGGAATGAGTATTTACATCTGAAATTCTGACTGAAGGCTTCCCTGCGGTTGGGGGGTTTGTAAGTATTTCATGTTCTCTGCCATGTCAAAAGACACACGTTTCCCCTACTACCTTTTTCCTCACTCTGAGCATTTATAGGGTCTCTCTATGTACCTTTTTGCCTATATTTATAAAACTCATAAAAATTTTATTACATTAATTATCTCCACCCACCTCCTAAGAGGTTATGAAATCCTGAAGTCAAACAGAGCATGACCACATAAGCCTCAAGAAACCTGAGAAACCAATTTTATCTGCCATTTCCAAATGAAAGTGGGAACTTTTTCTGCAGTCTTTAGCAATTGTATCCATACTGAATTATGTCCGGGCTAATTTATTTGGAATAAAGAACAGAAAGGGAATTCAGATTTTCTCCTCGGTGGTATATTCTGTTCTCTCTGTCAGAGCTCCCTCACCCCTACAGACCTGCTAAAAATCAAACTGTGTGGAGGAGAAGCACCTCCATAAACTGAAATTGTACCTAGTGTTAACTACAAACGTAAAAGCCTCGGGTAAACTTATTGAGCATGTATTGCAGTATGCAAATCAAAAGGTTAAGCAGGAATTCTAAAAATGTGTGTTCAGAAATATTTATCAGAGGCCAAATCAAATGGGATAAAAAGGAAAAAAAAAGTAGCAGTGAATGCAGTTATACACTGAAACCAGTGCTCAAGTGAACTGGTAAGTTCTTCATCCTTTTACACTGTGGAAAAGGCTTCTCACCAAAAGCCCCTGATGTTTCCCCTTTAAATAATGTTAATTTCTCATCAGCTAGTCTGCATGATGACTGGAAAAGATCTAACTTGACACCAGTCACATTTTTCTCTCCAGAAGAAGTTTTTCTCAAGACCTACTTAGGAGAGTTGGTTCACCGACAAACCCTGACCAGTTTGAGAGGAGGAGAGAGAGAAGAGAGAGGGCAAACAAGAAGTGGTGATGGGGGGACACCTTGATCCAACAAGCCTTTGAAAAGTTGTCCCTCTTTCTAGGACTTACTAGCTTAACACCAGAAAACAACCTTATGTCCACCAGTACCTCATCTGTGTGTGATTCTATGTATTACTCAAGATCACCTGCCAGATTTTGCACTTGGGGCCAGCCTCCCGTACCTGCAAGAAACAACCTTAGGAGAACCTAACAACCTTAGGAGAACCTAAGTGTCTGAGCAACTGCCTGTGAACTGTAATAGGCATACGCAATCCTTCAATATTTACAAATTGATATCTATGGCTCTTATTCATCCTTACAACACACAAAGACAGTCTGTATCTGCAAGCATCCATGCCAGAACAGTTTTCTTGGGGGCTTGTCTAAACAGGAGTTGCTCCTAAGTAACAACATGTAGGGACTCTTACTCCAAATAGAAGCGCTGTCGTCCTGCAAAGCATGAAATGGGCTAAACCAACCATACTGCTCCTGCTTTGCATTAAATGTGTTCAGAGTTAACCCGGAACAATGTTACTTGCTGAGCAGTCATTAGGCATTTTCTTTGCCAACTATCAGAAAAGTCATGATAATGGAAAGGTCCAAATCTTTGCCTAGAAATGAAGAATCAGGAAGAAACCACTCTCACAGCTACATGAAACTTGCATTTTGTTTTCCTCCAGGGAAATTATACATTTTCAGGTTTCTTGCATCTTTTCTGAACCACCGGGTAAGTATTTTTACAAAGGCAGTGCCTGCACGAGAGTCTAGCTTTCCTTTTAAACCCTTGAAAAGACCAGCCTGCTGGCTTTAGACAGTAATGATGTCACTAACTGGACTGCAGTCCAAGTATCTCACCCAGCTATTTCCCCCCGTTAAGTCCAGTAGTTTGTGCCTGGCTAGCACAGATCTTGCAGAGCACCATTCTGTGCTGATTTCTATGCATGAAAAGACAAAAAGCCTCTTGCTCTTCTTGGTAATTTTCTGAATAATTCATCTATCATTTCCTAGTAGCACATCCTATATAGACCCTATGTTTATACTGGCAAGGCTCAGTAAAAATGTACGGGGAACAGGTTGGCTCCTGTCACTCGCTAGACAGCATGCTATCAAGACTTTCATACTGTGCTCCACTCATTCACCTCTTTTAACCTTCCTGAAGCCATTAAACACACACGTACATATGCATGTATCATAGCGTCATAGGATCACAGAATAGTTTGGGTTGGAAGGTCAACTAGTCTAAGTACCCCTGCAGTGAGCAGGAACATCTTCAACCAGACCAGGTTGCTCAGAGCCCCATCCAACCTGACCTGCTGCCAGGGATGGGGCATCTACCACCTCTCTGAGCAACCTGTTCCAGTGTTTGACCACTGCTAATGAGTTCCAGCATGCTCACAGGTTACTGCTATGTTACACTTTGCTTTAGCATATAACCTTAGTTTCAATGACTCTCCCAGCTTGAGCTCTGACAGTCAGCATGCACTGCACTACTTTAGTTTTGTCACCACAAGGTAAACTCTGAACAAAACCGTATTGGATCCCTTGAAAATTAACAGTGACATGCAGAAGCGAAAAGCATTGCAGGTGCTGCAAAGGCAGGTTTCTGCCATCTTCAAATTCATTCACAAGTTTCCTACACGTGGAACTTCTGTCAGAGAAAGATTTACTTATATCCAAGTAGAGCAAGTCACAGTGTCCTTTGTAACAAAAATATATGGACAGAAAAAAATATCTTGCCAAAGATGAGGAAAACTCATGGTGGCCGAAGAGCATGAGTTTTCCACACCTCTTCTCAAAGGACATCATAGGTGCTCCACTGGCAGGTAGAACTGGATTTGCCATTGGATAATACATTTCTGTAGGAAACAGAACTGTTTTGTGTTGTCCCAGAGGTCACGAAGTTTGGCTGTTTTCTGAACACAAGCATATGACCTGCAGACAGCACGGTGGTCAGGCATCTTACTAAAAGTTGGCATTTTCCAAAGTGCCTCAGTAACTTAGAAGCATAATTCCCACTGAAAGTTAGAATTCACAGGTCAGCTGCAGACCCAATTCATTACAGAATAAGTGAGCATATGGTGGCGTTTGTGTATATACACACTCCCTGGAAAATATAGAACTGTGTGAAATATTCTTTACACTAAA